TGTCACTGAAGCAAGCAAGCCTCATGTTCGCTTCAAGCTGCCTGGCTGCCGGCAGCCATCTTGGCTGGCAGTTAGTTTGCATATCGCCCTGATTAGCCAATGGGAATGGTAGCTGAGGTACGGCTAATTACCATGTTTCTCTTTTATTAGATAGGATACACACACACACACACACACACACACATAAATAAAGAATACATAAGGTAGGGCAATAGATTTACAATTGTTCATATGGAAAATAATACAGCTAGTAAGTAATAATGTATAAGAATAAACTCTGTTTCACTTACTTGACACTGTAAACCTACTTTTGCCCCACACAATATACTAGTATACTTCTTCTGATTTACCAATGGGATATTCTGTTACTCAGTATACACTGTTCCCATCTCCTACCTAAGCATGGGATCTCTACCTTTTAGCCTAAGCACATGATCTCTATCTTTTAGCCAGAGCTCTGAGTCAGCTGTAAAACTGGCTAGAATTTGGCTGGAAAAGATGTTAGCTCATTCACAAAAGTATAAATATCTGCTTCAAATGTAACTCTTTCAAATTACCTTCTTCCTCTACAGTTTTTCCCCCTCTACATTTCAAAAGCCATAATAATATAAAAAAAGTATACTTACCTTAACCTCGGGCTCTTTTTCACATTCTTCAATATATAAGTCATAAAGTTTTTGAAATACAGATTTTCTAAAATTTAATAAAGACAATATAAAAAATGTGAATACAATCATTGTAAAATAAATGTTATCAAATTTTCTCATCCTCCCCACCCCCAAATTCCCAAAGATTGGAGGTGAAGTGGACATGGCTAACATCAACTAAGAAAGTTTTAATATATGCAAAGTACCTATAATATAACATCTCTAGTAGTGCCTATTTAGAATGCAATAAATGGTGGCTCTCATCACATTTCAATGAATCTAAAGTCATCAATTAATGAAGTATTCATACCTTCCACTAGATAAGTATTTCCTTTTAGGAGGTCTTTGTCGGGCACTTTCAATGACATACTAAAAAAGAAAAGTTTATGAAATAGCTTGCCTTTTACTTAGTGAAGGAACACTGTTTTAAGTATGTTTAAAACACATGTAAGGCTAAAAAGGCTATTCAGTCACTCAAGTCTCTGATTCCTATTAAATTATACATTGTAAGAAAACCTATTTAACTTCTAAATAGTTTAACTATGTTATAAATAAGTAAAATTTAAACTGCACTAAAATTTAGCATAATATTTCAATGCTATAAGCAAATGTGATTTCACAACTCAGAAATATTCTCAGTATATTTTATGGTTGTTCAGAATAAGCAGAGCATATCTAATTGCAAGGACTTTATTTTTGGCTATTTCCCCCTTCAATTGAGCAATCAGAAAACTTGTCAAAATAGGGAAACATGATTTTAGAAATTCTATGTCTGTTTAAATAATATTTATAGTGAAGTATTATTTAATTTTTATTCTATAGCATTAACTGAGAACTTCAAGTAACAGTTGATTCAAACATTGCCCAGTATTTATATATTTACATATATTTATATATTTATACATACTTATATATTTATAGAAAATTTGCATATTTGCCCTAAAATGATATTCATGTATTCCTTTGACAATCAGATAAAAATCTCTTAAAATGAGTTTTGTCAATTAATGTCATTACTATGTCAATACATAACTTAGTCACATCTTACCTCTGCACGGTCCAAAGCTAGTTCTAAAGCTTGTTGCTGTAAAAAAGTAAATAGTGTATTTGGCAATGTTAGCTATTTTCACAAAAAATAATAATATACATGTAACATTTGTAATTAAGTAAGTTTAATTTTCTAAAATAAGTCTAATATATTTCCTTTTCTCTCCCCCACATCCCCCACTGTATGCTCAATATCTATATATGTAAAAGCCTAAGCAACCGAACGACCAAACCACCAGTCGACCGGTCGCTATGATGCGCACTGACCACCAGGGGCAGACGCTCAATGCAGAAGCTGCTCCCTGGTGTCAGTGCGCTCCCACAGCCAACCTCCCACAGTCCCTCCCCCTGGCAGGCCAACCAGCCCCAATCAAGCCGGCTGGTTAACCTCCTGCAGCCCTTTCCCCAGCCAGTTAACCTCCACAGCCCCAATGGCCCCGATTGGGCCGGCCAGGCCGAGGGACCCCACCCATGCACAAATTTGTGCACTGGGTGTCTAGTAGATTCTAAAGAAAAAAATATGGCAGTCGTAGGCACCTGATTATGACAACAAATTAGATAAATACTAAAATAGCTTTCTTTGGCCACGGCATGAGACTGATACAGGGTAATGGGCTGGATATAGTAACTACTACCATTTTATAAACTTTAGCTTCTTCAACATTCTAAGAGCACCATTCAGTAAAATATATTGGACATCAAGTATGCAATTCAAGTAAAGCAAAGACTAAACTCTCCTAATCTTCTAAGAATCCTGAAAATTGGGGGTGCTTACTATGTTGATACCTATCATCAACTTAGAAAGTCCTAATATATTAATGCAGAGTCTTTAACATGTTTTTAGGTCAGTGCCTAGTAGAATTCAATAAATAATGGCTAATTTTCATATTTCAACAATTTTAAGATACTATCAACTATAAGCACACATCATTAATGTAAGTAACATTTTAAAAAATGTGCTATCAGTTATAATTGTAAGTTGTCACTGATTGTAGATTCATCCTCAATTCAGTAATATTAAAATGTAAAAGAGAATGAATGTACCTTAGAGTTGATAAAATATAGTATTATTAGTACATGTACAATTTAAGATCTACTAGTTGGTTCCCATTCTTCATCTGTTATTTGGAGACCCTTATTTTAAGGCAAGAGGGAGAAATGAGAAAATAATTTCTATCTTTCCTATCTGTAAAGTTTCTTTTTAAGGACACAAAAAAATAAAAAAGTACTAGGTTTTAAACAAAATTAAGCAAATATACCGCCAGTGATTTCTATTCCTAGTTTTGTGGTTTGAGTACTGCACAGGGTTGCTGTATTTTTCATTCACAATGATAGTCATTTTTATGACTGAGAGGCATACAACTTTCATTTTTTTATTTACAAGGATCTAAAATGTTCTTTTTTATTTTGTAGACTCCAACAATTCAATCTACCAAGTTGCATGGGGTAAAATCTCTCAGTATCCACCAAAACCCAAAAGGGTAAAGGGAGAATAAATATTGCTAGACTTTGGAAATCATGGAAAGGTTTAAGTGATCCTGCCACCCTAGTCCTAAGGATGAAGAAATCAGATGATTACAAAAATAGCTGGCCTTTTAATTTAGACTGCAATAAAAAACAATCCACATTAACAAACACCTAAAATGTAATAAGTGAAATATATACTTTCAAAAGATTCAGTTAAAATAAATGTTTCGCAATTTATTTTAAAAATCTTATGAGGGTCAGATTCCCAACACAACTGGTCAAGATGACATTCCTGAGTATAAAACATTTTCCAGCACAAAAACATCATTCTGGATATATATACTTGACAAATACATAAGGTTCTTTTAATTATTTGGCCACAAAACCTTAAAATTTATATAAAAGAATTATAATAAACATAGTCAAATATACACTCTAGGACAATTTAAAATAGTAAATCTTCTCAAGTAAATATTTCACTTCTGAAATCAAAACTTCAAAAAATTTAGTGAGATATAACTATATCTATAAATACAAACATCATTTACATACTACCTTCTTCAAATACTTTAGAAAGAAATATTAACTAATACAAAATATAAAGCAAGGTGTGAACCTCACTGCAACTGCTCTACTTGTCTCTAATAGAGCAGGGGTAGAGAAGCAAAATCCCAAGGAAGAAGGGAGACAAATGCTTTCTGAGGCTAATTCAACATGGTGGTCAGTGTTTGTTTATTCTGTTATTTAAACATTAGAAAGTGTTCTCCCCCCCCCCTTTGTTTTTAATTTTTAGTTACAAAAGTTAAATGCCCAGCCCTACATATGTTTAGTGACTGCAAGTCAGTGAACAGAAATGTGCCATTAGAAGACTAAAACTGATGTTCTTAAATGTTATTTACAGTAAGCACATTACATTCGTTTAAAAATTTTTTTAATCTAAATTAAGAGAAACTTTAAAATATGAGAAACCCCCAAAACTATCATATTTATACCCATCTTCCTTGCCAATGATTTGGACTATGATAAATAGAAATACATATTATTTAATGTTTCATAAAGATAGACAGGTGGATTATCTGTATAACCTGGATGTAATAATTTTAACACAGAATTGAGATGAGCCCCCTATTTTGTGGAGAAAATTTTGCATGTAATTACTAAGTAATTTCCCAGTTAGGGAACTTGAACAGATTACAAGAGGATTTCTATATCTATAATACAGATATTTTTATGGAAATAAAAGAAAGAGTACAATCTAAAACATAAATAACATACTGAGCTGTAGCTTACCATTGTAGTATAAAAGAGGGGTCCAAAATGAAAATTTAACTGTGTTGATGAAGTAGGGTGAAAACCATGCCTTTAATATAAATTTTATAGCACTGTAAAAGCAAAACCAAAACCCCCATATTAACATAAAGCTAATAATAGAAATGATATAATTTAGTTAAGTAATAAGAAACATTATTTGAGATATGTTTTTCTAACACACTTTTTAATAATCAGCAATAATGAAATTCATGTGCCACAATCTATCCATTCACGGTTGAAAAGTACACTTTTAACTAGGTAGGGCAAAATACAGTTTGCAAGTTAAAATGATTACTTTCTTCAAAAATATTTAATACCCAGGAGAGAAAAGAATAAAAGTTCACTGTTACTGGTCTCATTGGTTTCTCTGGATTACTAGTAACCACCTTTCTACTGGCCTTGATTGCTCTACAGTTCACTTTACAAATCATACTTTCATCATATCTGCTGATAATTCCCCCAAATACCCTAAAGGCTACATTTTCCAGATGCAGCTGCAGTCCCTCAAGCAAACTGGATACACTCCTGAAGAATCGCATTTAACACAAGGGTTCTCATTCTGGCTGCAAAACACAGTAACCTCAGGAGCTTTAAAAAAATGGAATAACCATGTATCACCCTCCAGTGAGTTTCATGAACTGGTCTGGAGTAGGGCCCAGGGATCAACATTTTTGGAATTCCCCAAGTGATTCAAAGGTGCCCTCAGAGTTAAAGTCCACTGCTGTATGTCTGCTCTGAGAGTGATGCTAAATAAATAAGGCTTACTTTCAATCAAATTCTTTACCTAATTCCTTGTAACCCATGTCTGTCTGTCTATACAGGTGAACTAAAAGCACATCTTCAAATTTCAGAAAATAGTATTTTCCATGTAAAATTCTTTTGGCTTGTTTTGGTGAATCCAAAGCTTAGGTTTTGACAGTTTAGGTTCATTAAAAGGTGGAGGGAAAAAACGACCCAAACTAGGAATAATCATTAAAAAATGATTAAGACATTAATCCTACTCTTAAAGAGTTTATGAGATTTAATATGAATTCAAGTCAAGATGAAAAATTTGACCAATGAATCTAAAGATGAAATACTATACATACAGGCAAAATGTAAAATTAGATCTCTAATAGCTTCTCAGTCTTTTGGCTAACATCAAGTGTAAAATTAGATCTCTTGTCACTAAACTGGGGGAATGGGGTGAGGAAGGTTTAGTGACTTTAAATTATTTAAGTATTATAGAAAAAACCAATTACTATCAGTTACAAACCAAACATTCTTACTTTGTAGTGGATATACATACTAGAAGTCTGAGAAAACCATTGTAATCCTCGTCTTTATAGAATAAGGCACTCAGAACCAGTGACTTTCCCAAGGTCACACTTAGTGGAATTCAGATCACTAACAATTTTTAATTTTAGACTCTTTCTACTAAATCTTACAACCTTCAGACCAGTCAACCCAGCTTCTGTTTTTAGATTTTTAAAAGCAAAGCATTTAAAATAAAGACCCGATTCTGTTCAGATTAACATAACTTTTTTCTTAAGTTTGCTGTAAGTTTACATCGTGGTTATTAAACCACCGTACTGTACTTAATTTAACTTGGAAAGTCATGCTAAACATTTTGTATTTCATGTATTGTATTCAGAGAAATACAGTCCCTCCCACACGGTGGTTCCGGGGGATGGCTTCCAGGGGCAGTTATTCACCAAGATCGTTTCTCAACTCCCGGTAACCATGGCGAGAACCAGTAATTAATACAATTGTCACATCACAATCGATTCCATCGATTTCTGTGATAGACCCGAGTTTCCTCCAACTGCTCGAGCTTTTGTAACAACTTAGACTTTACCTTCAATATGCCGCAACTCAAAAGCGAAGGAACAGCCTTTATTCAATATGGACACCAAGAAACCCGCCCCCAAAGAAGCGCTACGTCAAATTACTGCGCTTCAAAATACCTGTAACTGGAACCCAAAAGTCAAACTAAAGTGAAGAGCGTGCTTCGTGGCGCCGTGAAAGTCAACGAAGGTGGCCGCTGGGACGGTGGCTGGCTCAGCTTGGCCCGAGTCTCCGGGGACACCGTCTTCCTTTTCCGGCCTCCGGAAAGCGACGTAACGCTATTCGGGAAGCGTCTCGCTCACCTCTGACCTCGGCCGCCGACTCTCGCGCGACTACCCCGCAGGCTGTGGCCCACTAGTGCCGACCGCCGCTTGGCTGGGACTCGCGAGGGCGAGGGGATTCGCTCCCTGCCGCCACCGCGCACGCCCTCTAGTGGGCGCGGTCCAGGGCCTGTTCCGGCGCCCCCTTTTCCGTCTGGCTGCTGCGGGGCGGCGCTGGCCACAGCTAAAGGAGAAGGTGGAGCTAGAGGACAGGGCGGTTGAGAGCGTGGGTGGCAGGGGGCGTGGCCGCCAGGGTTTGGTTAACACTCCCCACCTCCCACCCCCACCCACTGTCCTGGTTCATCCTGATTCCAAGCCCTGCAAGCCTAGTCTCCTGGTCCCTAATATGCAGGTAGTGTTACAGGCACCTTTTACAGACTTGGGAGAGGTGTTATCTGGCAGTCCCATGAGTCAGAGGGAGAGGGCTGTCTCCACCTCAATTCTTGTCATGCTCATATAAATGAATTTAAAGGAGAGACCCTGATTGTGTTGTTTTAAAGCGAATTTATTTAAAAAAAATTAAAGCATGCACATTTATAAAAGAAGCGAGGCAAGCAAACCTATACATCTGGCTTATGCAGTGCAGATGGGCTATAAGCCCCTCTGAAGAGCAAGTGGGGTGGGGTTTCTGCCTTATATACCGTATTTGCCGGCGTATAAGACGACTGGACGTATAAGACGACCCCCTAACATTTCCACTCAAAATACAGAGTTTGTTATATACTCGCCATATAAGACTACCCCCTCTTCCGCACACCTTCCACACACCAAATAAAAGGTAAAACAATATCAGATTTGATTTTAACATTTTAATTTATATTCAAATGCTTATGACATGCAGGAAAACTGTCACAAGGCTGTATGTAAGCAAACATATACATAAAACAGTGCAAGTTTATTACCGGTAAACATACCGGTAATTCACTAAAGAAAACACACTCTATAGACTGGTACCGTAGATGCTTCTCAGGAACACAGGCAGGCAGCCCACAACCTAGAGGGACTGTCAATGATAGAAGTAAGATAACAAACAGAGGGAGAGAGCAAGTGCCGGGCAAGTCCCTAGCAAGTTTGCTGGCGTGACAGTTTCACCTTAAAAGCCTTCAAACTCCTCTTCATCATCTGATATTAAAAGTTCATCAACGACATCTTGGTGCCATGATAGGGATGATAGGGGTTTGACTGGTTGACATTTTCTATGCTGTACTGTACAATGGGGCAGTATTGTGGTTGGCTGTTGGCTGTATACAAAGCCTGATTTGATTGGTCCCTGCTCCCTGTTTGCCCGCCCTGTCACTATAGCAGTCTGGTCCACCCTTGCATCAGCATCTCCCTGGGACCTCACTAGTGCCCAAGTGCGAGCTCTTCAACATTCTAACAGGCACCATGATAGCGCAAAATCGTGAATCTTCAATGCATATGTAAAGAAATATACGGTAACCCGAATTTACCACACTCGCAAAATCGCATAGCAGCCGAGCATACACCCAGCAGCGCTGCTGATGCCTGAACGGTATGTGGAATGAAGTGGGCGGGCATCGGGAGGCCACTATGGCACGGGGCAAGCACTATGGGCAGTCTATCTGAAGTGTACCTGGTGTATAAGACGACCTCCCACTTGGAGGCATATTTTTCAGGGCCAAAAAATCGTCTTATACGCCGGCAAATACGGTAGGTAAAAAATGTTTCATTGTGATTTTGATTTGCATTTCCTTAATGTTGCACATCTTTTCATGTTCTTGTTTGCATTTGTATATCTTCTTCAGAGAACTATCTACTCAAGTCTGCTGCCCATTTTTTAATTGGGTTGTTTGTCTTTTTGTTAAGTTATGACTTCTTTACATATATGCATGCTAGATCTTTATCAGATATATGACTCACAAATATCCAATTCCCCCGATTCTGTAGGTTATCTTTTCATTTTCTTGCTAATTCCTTTTGATGCGCAAACTTTTTCACTTTTGATGTTCTAATTCATCTATTTTTTTTCTCTCCTGTGGCTCGTGCTATTTTGTCATACTTAAGAATCCATTCCCAAATCCAAATTTTTCAAAAACCAACTCTTCACACTGAATAAAACAAAGCAGAAAGGAGTTTATTACAAGTTTTTACCTACAAACCTGGAATCTCAAGACTAAGGAGCAATAACTTTCAAGTTGCTAATAGACTAAAGGATAAATGCAGAAGGTGTTTGGCTTTTTCCACTTATTGTTTTCCTAGTAGTCTTCTTCCTTATTTGTGTCAAGGTAGCTGAGTTCAAAGAACAGAAAGTCCAAAGATGGCATGAACAGACTTGGTGTGTGGGGCTTAGCTGGCATCCTGTCCTGATTTTTGAGAAGAGCTATAAATCCTGAAACTTACATTAGGCAAGGTTAAGTTTCTTTAATGTGCTTATCTTGGTCAACTCCATTTTGTCACCAACATAAGTAACTCCAATTTAGTTTTGGTTATACAGTATTTACTCCTAAGTTTTCTTCTAAGGATTTTATGGTTTTAGCTCTTATATTTATTTCTTGTTTGATTTTGAGAGAGAGAGAGAGAGAAGCATTGATTTGTCCCACTTATTTATGCACTCATTGGTTGATTCTTGTTTGTGCCCTGACCAGGGATCAAACCAGCAACCTTGGTGAATTGGGATGACACTCTGACCAACTGAGTTTCCTAGTCAGGGCTTAGCTCTTATATTTAAACTAGAGGCCTGGTGCATGAAATTTGTGCGGGGGTCGGGGCAGATCTCTCAGCCCAACCTGCACCCTCTCCAATCTGGGAGTCCAGAAGTTGTGTCCCCATTTTTGGCATCTGTGGTATGTAGGGCAAGGCTGGCATCTCCACAGATCCCAGAGCAGTTAAGGGGTGGGGGAGAGAGAATGGGTGAAACGAGAGAGAGAGAGAGAGAAGAGAGAGAGAAACAGAATAGTCATATACCTGCCTGAGAGAGAGAGAGAATGTATATATGTCTATAGAGAAACAATAGTTGTGTATGTGTCTATGAGAGAGAAACACAGAATAGTTGTGTATGTGTCTATGGGAGAGAGAGAGGATTTGAAAGATAGGGTTCTGGGTGTGTTTCTGTGTAAGATATGGGGAGAGAAAAAGATTGAAAAGAAGGGGAAAAAGGGGAGACAGATCCCCCTTCTCCTTGCCATGTAGTCAGCAACCCCAGCACTGTGTGGGCTCGGGCAGGGTGACCCCCATTTGCCCTTTCCATCTTGTGCTTCTCCTGTTTCTGGGGCTTGCTTTCTGGATGCCTTTGTCCTTTCATCAAGAGTCACCTCGTGAGCCCCCAACCTGTGGCCCTGAAGGATGAGATCAGTTGGAAGTGTCAGAATAAACGCTCCCTGGTCCTTCTGTTGGGGACGTCACTGAGGATGGGGTCACAGCCTCCTTCCAGCTGCCGTTTGCCCTCATTTCCTGAGGGCTGTTCATCTGGCCTCCCTGAGGTTATCTCCGGAGCCCCCTGGGCCCATCGAGTGTCGAGTGATTCCATCTGGGAAGCAGGGAAGGAATCTCCGTTGAGCCCGGGCATCCCCAGAAACATGTCTCCGGATCCTGAAAGATTAAAGGAACCACCAGAGCCTGCAGAGGAAGGGGGTGTCAGGGAGCTGGTGTGGCTGTGGCTCTCCTGGGTGACAGACACTGCGGTCTTGACGGCATAGATGTTTGCCTCCTCTTGAAACTTTCCGATATTTTTCTTATAGCAAATCTGCTTGTTGCCAAACCAGTTGGAGACTTGAGAGCTGGTGATGCCACATTTCTTGGCGAGCTTCTCCTTAGCCTCCTCACTGGGATACGGGTTACTCAGGTGGGAATAGAAATACTCATTTAGGATCTTGGTGGCCTGTTTGCTGAAGTTCCGGCGTTTCCGTCTGGCATTCAGGAACCGGAGCACAGGATCATGATGGCTTCACAAGCGGCCACTTCCGCCAGGGGCCGCTCCTAGGCCAGGCAGCATGGTGTGCCTGTTCGTGACCCTTGGGCAGGGTGGCTTCCGGTCTGGGCAGCGCTGTGGACCTGCACGCATTCGTCCAACCGGTGGCCACTTCCACTGGAGGCTGCTCCTGGGCCGTGCCTGATGGTCATGACTATTAAGCACCTGACTGGTGGTGACTAATTAGCATAAATGGCTAATTAGCATATTTCTCTCTTATTATATAGGATAATTGCTCCATTTTCAGTTAATTTTTTAATATATATATTTTATTGATTTTTTACAGAGAGGAAGGGAGAGGGATAGAGAGTTAGAAACATCGATGAGAAAGAAACATTAATCAGCTGCCTCCTGCACACTCCGATGCTCTATCCACTAAGCCAAACCAGTCAGGGCCCACCTCACTGGGGCCGTTTCACCCTCCCCAGGCCGTTTCAACCTCACTGGGGCAGTTGCAACCTTGCCGGGGCTGTTGCAACCTCACCGGGGCTGTTGCAACCTCACCAGGGCCATCTCAGCCTCACTGGGTCTGTCTCAGCCTCACCGGGGCCGTTTCAACCTCCCTGTGGCCATCCTGACCTCACCAGGGCCGTTTCAACCTCACCGGGCCGTCCCAACCTCACCGGGGCAGTCTCGACCTCACCAGGGCCGTCTCAATCTTTCCAGGGGCATCCCGACCTCATTGGGGCTGTCCCGGCCTCACTGGGGCCGTTTCGACCTCACCGGGACCGTCCCAACCTCACTAGGGCCACCCTGATCTCACCGGGGCCGTATCGTCCTCACCGGGGCGTCCCAGCCTCACTGGGGAAACACGAAGTTTGGCCCTCTGTCCCCTGCCGAGCGGCTCCCCGCCAGACAAAATCTCCAGACCTTTCTGGTGGCTGAACATCCAGCACTCCTGCTCGGACCACGCCCTCCACCAAGTGCACAGACTGCCCGTCTGCCGTCCCCCAGTGCCCCAAGTGAGACGAACTGGTGAGCATGTTTGTGTGCCTGCTGGTACAGCGGTTCCACAACGCCGGCCCAGCCGGGCCCAGTCCCGGCCT